CCTTGCAATACGCTCTTTACCACCAAAAAATACTATATATTTCCACCACGTGACCTATAATTCCTACCCGAAGTTATTTTTATTTTTACCATAAAAGACATAGAACATATAATAATTTCAATTATGTGCCGACTACGTCGTCAAAAAGTCAAACGTTCAAATTTTCATGATTGTACTCGAAAAAAAATATAATAATTTCAAACAATAAATGATTATATTATTAATCAACCGTAATCATATATCCAATTAAACCATCATAGATTAACTTAGTCAAAGTAAATTCTAATAAATTTAAAGAGATTGAGTTCAAAACCATGATCATCAACTATCTAGAATTTTATGTGTTGTTTTTTTTCTCTAAGATTGTGAATTTAAAAAGTTAAATTTTAGATTAAAATTAATTCTTTTATTATATTAAATATTGTCAACATTCTTATATTATATTTTGTTTTTTAATATTTTTGATGTATTTTATAATTCAAGAGTGGTAAAACAATACGTTTATTAAAGTTTTGAAAAAAACTGGAAATGAAAATAAGAACATTATATATTTCTAAAATATCTATACCATTTTGGAAACGTCTTTTTAATGAAAAACGAGAAATAAGAATAATTTGTTTTGTTTCTAAAAAACGAGAAACAAGATACACTAAATGTATATATTACCAAACCGATTCTCAAGTTTTCGCTCCGTTATATTAAAAAAGAATCCATACTTATGATTTTTTCGAAAAGATCAAAATTAATTATAGGTAAACCTACTCTTCCCCTTCTTTTCATTGCTGGGTCTTACTTCCTTCGGTTTAAGTTGGGTTCTAATTTTTACTTTCCATTCATCCGTCAAAAACCAAAAAGTCATCTACTCCAAATTAAAATAATAAATTTTACTTGGATGACAATGATTCGAGAAGGTTAAAGTTGATTAGAAATAATTATAAAAATCGTGAATTTATATATAGATAACAACACAACACGTAGGATACCAAAGTATTATTAATTTTAAAATGAACAATATCATAAGAATATCTATAACATTAAAGTGCAACACAAGCTACAAATATGTCAGCGTCCTAGATGATAATTTTATGTTATATAAATTTAGAGATGATTATAATTATGATTATCCCACACATAGCAGAGACTACAAGTTTTTATTCATTCATATATGTTTTTAACAGTTCAGCGAAAGATGTCTATGATTGGATAAGAGAGAATCCTCCAAAACTAAAAGCAAAAATCTTTGGAAATTTCTAGACCAAAATTGTAATTTTAACTATTTTTTGCTAATGGAAAGTAAAAAAAGAAAACCAAAGAAAAAGGAAAAAAAGGGAAGGTGTGGTCCTTCACTTCTCTTGTCGCTTCCATTTTAGTTTATGTATATATATAGTGATATGGTTTTGCTGAGTTGCTCCAAATTGGTTAATTGTCTGAAAAATGGCATCTTGGGGGGGCACGCCTGAAGAGGATGAGGAGGAGGAGGAAGAAGACGGCGGCGGCGGCGGAGAAGTAGGGTTTGGGGAAGAGGAGAGAAAGATCAGGAGAGCTTTAAGCGGCGGTCGGTGTGGCGGAGCAGGGAGGTCAACGGTGGCGCGTTGCCAAGCCGACGGCTGTAATGCCGATCTGAGCGGCGCCCGGCCGTACCACCGCCGCCACAAGGTCTGTGAGTTCCATGCCAAGGCGGCGGTCGTCATTTTGGCCGGATTGGAGCAGCGCTTTTGCCAGCAGTGTAGCAGGTACAAATTTTAAAAATTAAAATTAAAACAAAACCCTAATCTGTATCATCTGTTTTAAAATATAATTTAGTACTTGTAGCTTCTAAGGCCTAAAACCTAAATTTGAATTTGATCCTTTTTTTCTTCTCCCGTTTCAAAGCAGTGAGGAATGTGGCGAAATTGAAAACTTAAAACAAGTACTGTTTTTGAGTTTTGGAAATTAATAATTAACTTTTTAAGTTAGCTCAAATAATCAAATTCATTCTACATTACATTATGTACAGTGTGTTTGGAGATCTATTATTCCATATTTTATAAATATTTTTCCACTAGTTTGAAGTACTTGTGAAGTGAACACAGTATATATATTTTTCACTACTTAATTAAGAATAATACTTTTTTCTTTGTTTCACTACATATGGAATGAAGTGTTAGGTGAGTTAATTTCAATTTTAAACTTTCCTTAAACTTGTGTATATAGTTAAATTAATACTCTTAATTAATTCTTTTTTATTTATTTATTTATAAACACTTGTGGCGTGTTTTTGTTAAGTGATTTACTATATTAATTGTCATTTTAGAATATATAGCATTTTGAAAGAAGAAAAATTATACATTTTGAGGGGAATTCAAGATATCTTGTTTTAGTACCGTATTAAACCATCAATAAATTCAAAAGCTTAAATTGATGTCTACTTAATATTTTATATATGGAAATTTTCTTATAAAACAAAATAAGTGTGTTTTGTTGAGGTAGGAGAGGTTACATTATTATTATTTAAGGGGAGTATACTTGAATTAGATAATCAATTTTAACTTTGAAACTTTTAATTTTTTTTTTCAATTTAAACTTATTATACTTGAACAAAAGTGTTCAATTAGTTAAATTTCTATTTTTCTTTGAAGATTATAATTAGTTTGATTTGGGCACTTTCTTTCCTTGTTAAGTGTATTTTGGGCGTTTCATTATAGTCGAAATTTGTTTGGTTTATGAACAAATTTTCTAATTTAATTTTTGAAAAAAAGGTTGAAATTGGTTGATAATGTGTTTGACCATATTAGCTAAACTATTAAATTTCAGGTTTCATGCGGTTTCAGAGTTCGATGAGACCAAGAGAAGCTGCCGGAGGCGTTTGGCCGGACACAACGAACGCCGGCGAAAAAGCTTATCCTCGGAGTTCCATGGCGGACAATCCTCCACCTGATCCACAAAAGACAACCGCCGCCTCCGCCGCCGCCTCGCCGGTTGGTTGGTTTCTGAAGAAGAAGAAGAAGAAGAAAAAATATATTATAATTTTCATAAGAGATGAAGGAATCGGATGAGCTTTAATTTGAGAAATTGATGAAAATTAAAATGAATTAGATGCTCTCTCTCTCCTGTCAATTCCTATGGCTGTCTGCAAACTTTTTTTTTTTTTTTCTCTCTTTTTTTGTAGTGACTATTAACTTGTGTGTAGGGCAAAGTTTCCAGATGCTGCTTTCTGCGTAGGTCACATCAGTTAAATCTGGGTTTAAATAGATTGTCTTTTTGTGGAAGTCGGCTGTGCTTTAATTTTAGGCTAAATACATGTTTTATTTTTGGATGTTTTTTATGTTGTTTCAACTTAGTCACTTTCTAAGTGGAACATTTGGATTTAGTTTTTATATTTTTAATAGTTTTTAATTATATATTCATTCTGCCGTTTGAAGGTTAAAAAGTTGGATGTGATCATGAAACGGGAGAGATGTTGAATGTTTCTAATAGACGATACCATATATTAGAAGAGATGTAGGAGACTGTCATGTGTTATATTTGATTGGGAAGAAATAATAGATTGTTCTCAAATGTTTTTAGATCAGTAGATCAACTTTAATTAAGACGACATAAGAGTGGCTAGTTCTTCCTAGTCATTTAAATCGATCTTTTTATAATTATGAAGATAATAGAGACTAAACGGAAGAGACATCAGGACTAAACCCTTATATCTTCAGTCTATATGGTATATTTTACTTAATTAACCTCTTTACTCCACCATCTCTAAACTCTAGCGTTTTTACTTAAATCCTCCGATACATTTCATACATATTTTTTCAATAGATGATGTCTCTCTATCCCGAAAAAAAAAAGTGTGGAGATTTAATTAGTTATATTGGCTGAAAATATAGTTTTGATAATAGAATTGAAAATTATTTTAGGGTTTATGTTGTTTTGGAGTTGCAATAAATGTCCATTGATTTTTCATGGCTTCGTTTTGAGCAATCTACATTAGAGTGTTATTAATAACTGCGACGTTTTTTTTTCCTTTTTTGTACAACAATAAACGTCCATTGATTTTTCATCGCTTTATGAATAATAGAAAGCGAATAATAGAGATAATAATTAAAAGGAAAAGCATGCATATAAATTAAATTGAAGCGAGGTGCTCCGTTCGAAATGTCGATGTCGACGGATATCTCGAGAAAAACTCATGCAAATTGTGAAAATTGATGGAAATTTTTTGAATTAGTTAATAAAACTTGAATTGCGGCTTAATTAGTCTATAATTGATCACCTTTAACTATTAAATGTAAGAATATGATCATTATTTTGAAAATGTCGACGTTCATGAAAATATCCAAAAAAGATTTTTTTTCTTTAATAAAATTGGATCGAAATTATTTGAATAAGTAAAGTAAATTTTAATTGTAGCTTAATTTGCCTATTATTGTATTATTTGAATTATTAAATTAAAGTTCATTGTTACTTGATTATACTTTATTGATAATTTATAATCCAATTTAGTCTTTAGTTATACGATTGCAATGTATGTGAAATATTGACATATATATAGGTTTAGTAATAAGTATAACTTATACTTGCTACTAAATCTTTATATAGATTGTAGCAAGAAGATGAAAACAAAATAACCTAAATTAAAAAAAAAAAAAAAGACATTTGAGTCGACATGTGGATGTGTCGACAACATGGAGAAAAAACGACTTTTCCTCATCTTGATGTCGAACACCTCGACACATCGAGTAATATGTCGACGAAACCGGCCTGTCTAAGACATATATATACCTCGACAGCTTAAAACATATGTATTGGTGGATTGAATCTCCACAAGTAATATTTTTAGGATTTTGATCCATTTTTTGTTTTTAATTAAAAAAAAAACATTTGATAGCATAATCTACTTTTCATTTTTTTTGTTTTAAAATTTTCATTTCTAAAATTGTATACCTGTGTTGGAAACAATAGATTTCATGGTTTGTTACGAAATTTTCATACAATTTTAAGAACATTTTTAAAAAATGAAAAATGAAAAACCAACCATTATCGAACGACACAATAATTTCAAACAAACTGTTATCAAATGATATTTAGTAACTCGCCCTTAGTTTCTTTTCTTCTTTTTTTTTTTCCAAAATTTCAAATTCACCAAACAAAAAAAAAGGTGCTACTCAATCAAGTTTTACTCGTATAAAAATACATGAAAAATATTTTTAAAACTAAATTGACATAATAGTTTTGAATATGTTGGTTTTTTAAAATTATACATTGACTCATTGGTACAGAAGGACTTGGGTTAATTAGGAAGGAATGAGTTCAAATCTCATGGCCATCTATCTTAGGAATTACTGGTGAGATTAGTCGAGGTGCGCGTAAGCATGTTTATAATAATAACGTCAAATTATTAAGTATTATAATAGTTCATAAATTTGATGTGTGTGTCTATATATAATTTATTATTGACCCCTTAAAAATTATTTAATATTTATTTAATTCATGTTGAATAATTACCTACACTTACTAAACCTAACTCAACGGCTTAAAATATCAATAATATTTTCTTAAAGTTTTATAGGTTAGAGCCCCCCTTCATTTGCCGTATAATGTTTTATTAAGAATGTGCCAATAAAACAAAACTACTTGAAATGAGGAAAATAGTCATTGGAATAAATACAAATTATAGAAAATCAGTGGTTGGTTTTTCTGTTCTTTCCTTTTTTTCCCTAAGTTCAATAGCTGATTTCTATGTATAATTTGCACAATTTGTTGGATTGAGTTCAATAGTTTGATTTGCAAAATCTGTTTAATACTGCTCTTAAAAAAAACTACGAACTTTGTTGGAGAAACCATATATAATAAACAAAATGGTAAAAAAAATTATTAATACTTTTTTTAATCATGTCAAATAGTAACCATTTGCTAGAGAATATTAATACTTTTTTTAATCATGTCAAATAGCTTCAATATATTTACATTATGCATATCTTTTTTATAGAGAATATTTTTATTCTGGTAACCCTCAAGACTTTGTTCCAAAAGAAATTGAGTTGTGCCTAAAAAGTTCACAAGAAGTTCCTGTTGTGAAAAAAGAAATCATTTTGCACATTTGGTAAAGTATACCTATTGTCTATTTGTAAAAAAATCAAAGACCAGATATCTTCCTCTCTAGACTTCATGGGACCAATAAATATCCACATAAAAAACAAAAAGTACACTATAACACTCACCCAAAACAAAAGCAACGCTGTTTCTGATCATGGTGATGCAGTCCCCATGAGTGTTCTTTTTCACCAGATAACTGGTCATAACTTGCTACGGAGTGTCTTAGATGGAAGGCCCTCCCCCTTGTTATGAACAGTTGGCTTTTGGAACACTTCTCGCCTTTCGGCGATGAACTTTGCAAATCGAGAACCTTTCCCCTTTGTTTCATGGTCTTCACCGAACAGTTGTGGCAGATCGGGCTTGGGAGATCGTTGTGGCATCAGTGCCCATAGAGAAGAAAGCTGCTCATCTGGTTCATCAAGAACTTTTAAGACTGAGAGGTCCTCCATGTCTGCAGGTGGAAAAAATACAAAGGAATTACATCTAGCACAGATACTGTGGTAAAGACATTGCATTGAATGTACTGATTTAAGAAACTAGAAAACTAGAGGGATCTATAAACAGCCATGATTTGATGTTATTATACTTTATTGCTTCTAGGAGCCGATATGGTTCCTTCAAATGATTGAATTTCTTTAAGCTCAATGCCACTTCTAGATATTCCACAATAATTTAGAGGTCTAAACCCGAATGCTGCTGCTGCCTTGTTTTTATTAAGGGTTGATGCCTTATCTAACTTAAAAGAATTGAAATATTTTCCCATCATGATATCTGAAGAAACTTTATACATGGATCGCGATTGCTAAATTGAACAGTAACAGCACGATTAGTTCCGGTGGCCCACCTTTGGAGAACCTATAAATGGGCTCCAAGGCTGCACATGGTATGCTGAAATTCAAGTGTGGAATAATAGATCCTCGCCCATGCCTCGCATTGCTGAATCAACATTTCACAGAAATTATTAATTTCCAGAGGAAATCCACCATAATAATGAATACTGATGGTGGCTTGGTAAAAAATCATCGACTTAAAATCACTAGAAAAAACAGGCACATCATCAAACTTGACTCGAACTGATCTAATAGACAACGGGATACCTATTAATGAACTATTTTTCATGAACTAGCAAACAATCCAGGAAAACCAAATGCGTCTGCAAAATACAACACAACAATCTTTGCAAGCATTGCTGTCCACGGACAAAACTGAATTAATCCTGTGATCCTTCACTAATGATGATGGCACAGGTAATTATGTAGGAACAATAATCAGGAGAATCATTTAAAAGATTTTCTAGGTTTTATGCCAGCTAAAATTTAAAGGTTAATATGTCTTTAAGAACACGTGCTCCCAAGGAGATATTATCTGACATTGTAAGACGTGTTTAGCTGAATCCATCAATCATATTATATTCGAACCATGATGCAAGGCAAAATTCACAAATAGATGGACTAGATGAAAGTAAGCAGATGGAAAAAAGATTATGCACTATCTCTTAAGAGTATGTTTGGCAGCTTTTCAACCACACGCAGGGAAATTGAAACATGAAAAGCTGTAGTGGAAACAGAGCAAGCTTCCAACTGGTCTTAATCCACTTTTAACAAATAGATTTACGTATACTGAACCCTTCGCCTTGTCTAGAAAATGTTATTAACCCATAGGTTTACCAGTTCCCTTTAAAATAGTCAGAAGCAATATATATTCCAAGCATAACCTAATATGGATAAATTGATATTTATTTGTTGTACTGTACCTTGTAACAAGTCCAACCATATGGCCTTCTGAATTGACAACAGCACCCCCACTACCACCAGGATGGACTGCAGCTGTTGTTTCAAGAATTGCAGGAAAATATTCTAGTGAATCTCCTTGATGATGAGATGAGGGAATCTTTGCTTTCACCACATTCGCCACCACACCAGAGCAAACAGATGGAGAGAAGCCTAACAAAATTCAAACTAGACTAAGATAATCTAAATATATACATATTTATGTGTGCGTGGAAGGAATTGCCACAGTTGCACCGATTTGAGAATTAATTTATATGTAAAACAAAAATATGGCAACACTGTAAAGTTAGTCATCCTCTCCTTCAAGTAAAAGGGTCATCAACCATTTTTCCAAAAAAGAACAAAAAACAATCTATATAATGCGAATAACAAATCCTTTCCCTTTAAGGGATCCTTTTTGGTTGTCAAGTAACACATTCAAAAACAATAAAGATAACTGCTGAAATTCTAAATGTGATCAACATCTATGACATCCATTAGGTGTTATTTAAACTCCCTTGTGCCAGGAGTAATTTCTTATCGATTAAAAATCACGATCATTGTAGAAGAAGCTAGGACCCACTGACTATGGTAAATGCTGGATAAGAAAGAAAAGTTCCTTCGTCTGGTTCATCCCTATCCCTACTCCCAAAACAAAACTTTTTCTAACACCAACGTGGAATGGCATACTAAAAGAAAAAATCACATGACAATAATAATAGACCAAGTTATTTGACGAAAGTACCAGATTTTGGTCCCAATAGTCCATGTCCAATAACATATATCTTTGACCCTGAGGATGGACACGAACAATCCATTTTAATAGGTGAGAGCTGCTCTGGAATTTGCTCAAGCTGTAACAGGGCAACATCCCAAGGTCCCTGACAGATATATATCACTTTAGCATCGCACCAGATCCACTGATCTGCATGGTTCAAGCGAACACGCAAGTTTCTACGGCCATAGTTAGCAAAACTCTTATTATCCTGAAGTTGGTCCTGAATCAGAATATTTGCATTCTCAGAGGCATTTTGTTTCAAACTTCCACTATTTTTCCCGCCAAAAACACCATTATGCATTGAACATGGAGAATCCTCAGTATGGGTCTGCAGCAGCTGGGCATTTTCAATTGATCTTTCTGCACTTGAGTTTGTTTTCCCAAATCTCCACGGCTCTATCAAGTGAGCATTTGTGAGTATTAGGCCTTGGCTATTGAGCAGAACACCAGAGGCCCATATTCCTTCACCAATTGTAACAAGACAAACAGAAGCCATTGCCTTCTCAACTTTATTTGGGAAAGGACAACAATAAGAATTTTCATGAATACTACTGAAGGTTCCCTCAAATTTTTGTTCCTTAGTCATTGCCTCATTCCCCACGTTAGTACACCCATTGTCATTTCCAATCCCTTCTCCAGCATAATAAGCCCCAAACAGCAAATCACTGCAAGCAGTTGCGATGGCTCCCCATGGAACTAACAACTGTTACCCAAGGCTAGAGTCTCACACAACGCAATAACTACAAGAGAACTTAAATAGCATGTAATGAGAAGCAAACAGACTCATTATACCTGAATCTCAGCACCAGTCATATAATGCATAAGTGGCCTAATCAGAACACCGATGATACGTGCATGTTCATCAAAAACAGGACAGCCTTCCATTCCTAACATATTAAGTATCGTAATGGTGGTAAGAAAGAAGCCACCAGAATAAAACAGAATATAATAAAATATATAGATGTACATACCAGGAAGACACCGCATGTCAGCCATCAGCAATGACTTGTTCCATGAGCGAGGAGGGTAGGAATTGGCAATTGACCCGACTGATATGCTAATTTGGGCAAACAATCAAATACTACAAGTCACAAAAACAATAGCAGCTAACCGTTGAAGTTCGCAAATGCAATGGAATATTATCTTGTCTTCAGGTGTATGTTACACAAAATGACAAGAAACATTCTTCCAAACCAACTTTTGCAAAAATTAATCGACTCAAATTTCAAAATCCAAGAATTAAATCAAACAACTTGTTGGCATGTTACACCTGAAGACAAGATAATATTCTTCCAAACCAACTTTTGCAAAAATAAATCGGCTTAAATTTCAAAATCCAAGAATTAAATCGAACAACTTGTTGGCATGATAACCATATATATCGCTGTCAAATTATTGATCCAAATAAAGTCTAAGATATTAATGCTAGAAGGTTCTACTGTATCTTTTGCTTTACAAGCTTTGAATTATCTCCATCATTGTATGTGGTAAACTCAATTTGGTCCATATTTTTAAAACTAAATAAATACAAATTTCAACATCGAGGAACTGTCCTTCAAGGATGCCTATAATAACTCGTCATCTTTAATTTTCAGCATGATGCAAGAACAGACTCAACCACAGAAGCCACAGACCATAAATTATTTCGTGACATTATCCCTTTGATAGCAATTTGGCTTGAAGAAAGACAGCCCGAAAAGAGAGGGTAGTAAACTCAAAAACATACTGCGGTCAATAAAATGAAAGAAGAAAGTCATTTGTACCATCTACAAAAATAATTTATCAACTACTAAGGTCATCGTGAGATTCCAATATGCCATTCAGTCATGCTGGAAACCAACACTAAGTACTGGACATGAAAAAACAAGAGAGAAACAGCCACCAGCATCTAGGATTATACAAATCTCAATGTAAATAAAGACCTAATAACTTGCAAGTCCGGTACAGTTTGGAAAACAATAGACTGTATTAACCGGATGTTAGAGAAGATAGACCTACCTGTTAAAGAAATGCACCGGTGATAGAACACCAAAAGGAGAACCAACCGCAAGAAGAAAGGATCCTCTCTGCCTTGAGGGAGATATACTGATGTTTGGCACATCCTAGAAACAAAAATATAATTACTAGCACTAGACGTCTCCAGGTCAAGGAGAAAAGGCTATGGATATTCGAGAAAGACCCATCCTTCAATTTATTCAAAGTGAAAATTTCTAATGAATGACAGGTACAAACAGGTAGAAATTCACCTTTGATAATGACGGAACACCAAGAATGGCAATTCTTACTCTTAAGTCATCAGTCTTGTTGGATCCTTCCATATCCAAATGCTTCTGGCTACCAACAAAAGTTCTCTTGTCATTTTCAATCTGAAGATGAACCCGAAACTACACTCAGGAGACTAAAAATGAAAATAAAGACATAAATACGGGAACAAAACAGAATATGTACAATTATATGACACCGATACAACTAATCCCAGGTCTTGGATCTTTGCCTTTTCAGCATGCTTTCCGTGGAAATCATGATAATAGTCATAGGGCATCAAATTACCCCTTCTATCACAACAGCCCCAATTAGCAAAAGACTAGATATGGTGTAAGAACTCACTCATTTGAGGTTCAAATTTCCCCATCCTATATTACCCCAATTACCATTGTTAAAGAATTGATAGCAATTATAACATTTATCACTTCAATCTATGATCAACAGGACAAGATTAGATGAGAGCCTTAATGGTCACTGCCAACCACGGGGGCAGGTGGTTTGTTGAGGATTCTCCGCTGTGTTATCTTTTTGTATTTAATTAAACATTAAATTAAAAAAACGCACATTTTCAAGTTAAAATTTTGAGAAATTAGTTTATTAGATATTTACTATTTTTAATAATTAATTATATACAAAAATTTAATAAATATTATTAATTTATGAACATAAAAGTTAATAAATCTAATAAAAAAATATTTAAATTTTCAAGGACGAGGGTAGAAGCGGGGTAGGAGGTGAGGCAAGGAATACATTCTCCATCCTCAGCTCCAAAATTAAATCAGGAAAGAAAAAATCTCCGTCCCAACTTGAATTTGGATTTCCCCGTCTGGTAAGGAGCAGGTCCCTGGGGGGAAAATAACATACCTAGGAAACTAAACAATGAATTCTTAACTAGATATTACCAGGCTCTCTTCTTGCAATTGTTACAAATTGAGGAAACTTGGTAAAGCATAATGGACAAGTTAGTTTTGATCTAGCTAGGTGTCTCTTTAGATCATTAAAATGTGGTTCATGTTAATTAGAAAGAAAAAATGGATATCGAGTCGGTTAGTTGTCACAAGCTAATTCAATCTGATAATGGCCGTATGATCTGAGATGTCTCAAGTTATATAGATTAAAAGGAGGAATGTGCCAATGCTGATTGAAGTTCTACCCGTACCTTCCAAATGTGAATCTTCGAATGATTATTTATGCTAATTCAATCTTTTTATCAAACCAAAAATCACTCAACTTGCTAAAGTTTTACACATTAGCTCCCCCTAGAGAAATTTTGTTTTATAGAACCTTAATTAGAATAACCTCAGAATTTCATTCATCAATAGTTAGAGTTCAGTTCTTTCTTCAAGCGTGGTTTGCTGAAGTTCATAAATATAAGACAACAGATACATAACCTGTCTCTGAAGAGCATCCCTGAAGGATGGAGGACCATTTGTATATGAGGCCAACGACCAGCCGACCTCCCATCTTTGATGTATTGAATCTAAAGATGCATCCATGACTGACTGAAGAGCAGTGGCAGATGTAGGTATATCATACTGCAAACCACAGTATCTAAATTGACATCAAAAGATTGCATGGCAGTTAAACGAGTTAAATCCATGATATAAGATAAGAAACGGTCACATGCTTATTATCAGATGCAGAGTAATGAGTAAACATGACATTATTGGAGAGGAATCATAAGCTTGAACTTATGTAACATTGGTTTATACAGGCTATAGGATCAGCAAAAAACTATAGCTCAAAATAAAACTCACATAAAACATTAATAGGCTCAAATTCTTAACCTAGATTACATAAATTTACCCCGTGAGTTAAACATCTCCATGGAGAAAAAAACAAACCTCAAAGAGAAGTCTAATTAATATTTCACGATACTGTTATAATCCCAACTAAATAGTGAGCAAATGAGATTCCTACCAAAGCCAACAAGTGCGCAGCATGCCAATGAGGAGTTCCTCCATTGCGTACTTCAAAATCTCTCTCCATCAATGAGTTATCCTGTGCCACAAGGGATTATTAATATGTGATTTTATGGCCCAAATAAGCCATTCAAGAAAAACTGTGTATTTATCAAATATACAACCTTCTATGTTATACCTCAACCATAATGTCAATCTGAACACCAGGAATTAACTCAGGCTTTCCCTGCAGCTCGTAAATAGGTTTATCAAATATATTAACATGGTTAATCAAATGTATAATGCGGGGGAAAATAATTTATGACAACAACAAAACCCATAACAATCAAATGCAATTTCCCCCTTCTACAGCATATTAAGTGAAGTTAACCTGACGAATGATATCTCTGTGTTGCTGTGGCATAAAAGGCTCAAAAATTGAGGAATTAGTCAGAACCAACGATGCAAATTGATCCTTATGATTACCAAGATGCTTAGCGACCTCAGTGTCATAAAGGATTTCAGGTAATATCATTCCAGATGCTGAAAGAGTTGTCCTCCCAGAGCTTCACATGCAAAGCAATAGAGGGAATCAATAAAAAATTTTCCAAGTTAGAAACATACAAACCCCAAATAAACCTATCAGATAGGAAGGTTCTCACTGATACTGATGGAATGCATGCTTGTGCATCTTCAGGCCCTTCGGGTCCTAAATCATAAGGCTTGCACCGATTTTTCACCATCTCAACGGAAATTACAAGCATGGGGAGCATGGAAAAAGGGCAAGAAAGATAGTGACTCACAGGGCCTTGGACTCTGACCATGATGGCAAAATTTCTGGCATAATCCACGATTTCCCGCGTAGCCATGACAGGAAGATAGGCTGGTTTGGAGGAAACAACAAGTAATAAGTTCAATTGCAGTACCCTTATGCACAGTTTCCACCCTTTCCAAGAAATATGCTCAAAATTCAAGGGGGGGCTAGTGAAATGATTATGCTACTCGCTCCTGAGTAGAAGTTTGCAAATTTATGAAGCCATATAAGCCCATTCAGGCGTCCCCATTCTAACACTTATTCCAACTGTAAAAAAGACCAAAGAAATATATCTAAACATTCCTTGATGAATTCACTGGTCGGAATTTTCTGGTCTTAATTTGCATCAAGAAAGGATACTGATTTTTACATCTGGTAAAGAAATACGCTTTTTCTTCCTTCACGCTAACCAAACGTCTCAGGCCACTTGCATATCAGCAGAGGCTTTCCCATCCATAACACATAGGATGGAACAAGTTAAAAAAAGAGCAAAAATGCATGAATTTATGCACAATCCCCAAACCAAAGTAAACCCCTCTGCCCTCTCTATCCTGTCACCATTTCATATATGATGAGCGTCTTACCATCCATAACAACCTTTCCCAAAAGAAAATTCTTCACATTGTGAGCATGGATCTTACAGAAATACCCAACTTTAACTAAATGTCAAAGTTGGAACTATAATTATGTTTAGAAGAATTCTCTGCATCCTGCTGCCCACCCTAAGTTTTCTAATATTTTGACAGGTAGGAGAGACGAAGTACATGAGGAGAGAGAAGAGAGACTTTCCTTTTCTCAAAAAAATAAATATCTATAAAAAATGTAAATACATGTGATTGAAAAATTATTAAATGAACTTGTTTTTATAATATATTTGATGAACTAATACTGTTATACATTTGAATAATTATTTATAATTTTACTTAAAAATAAATAATTTAATAGATATATAGGATACAAATATATCAAATTGGAAAAATGCATCATATGTAGCATAATAATACTTTTTAAAAAATTGAGTAATTGAAACAAACTAAGTCATACATTCCTGTCAAAAAAAAAAAAAAACTAAGTCATACATTGCATATTTAATTCACCATTTGTTAAAATGGTTTGATGCATGCTGTAATTTTAATAATTAATAAATAATGAATTAGCAATATTTTAAATGTATAACATTAGAAGTTAAGATTAAAAACAATCATATTTAAAACATATACCCTTTTCTGGAATTGTTATCAAGTTACACAAAAGAATCTTTAAATAAATTAATTATGTTAGCTTTTTACTCCATTAAATTTGGAACATATCTACTATACTTAAAAGATTTTGAAATTTGAAAGTAAAATATTAAATACTATTGAGTTTGTTATACGATCAAATAAGTAAACTAAAGCTTAAATATATAAATTTTTAAATAAAAATAAGTGATATCATTCATAAGATACTAAAAATTCATGAAATATTTTGTACTTCAAGTGGTACTTTTTTTATATGTATAATTATCTGTGTAAACATATGTTTTTAAATTGAAAGCAATTATCATGGTATTTTACTGTCAGATACTAGAAATTTAATCAATTCAAATAATTTAATCCATTATCTCAAAAAAAAATTATAATAATAATAATAATTTAATCCATCGTTAGATATTGTCTTTAAATTTTCCGTTTCATCTTTTCAGAATTTATAATCTTTATTTTTTATTCATAAGAATCAATATTCACTACTAGAAACTAAATTATAATTACCAAGATACTAAAAAAAATAAAAGAAGAAGAAGAAGAAGCTAAATTATATTTCCTGGTTGTTTAAATCCTAATAAAATTATTGTCTCTTTATTTTTATATAGTCAATGTCTTTTTAAATCTCAATAAAATTGTTGTTATTTTTTTTTAAGACATCGACTTCTGTATAAATATCAATGAAATTATTAGTCTTTAAAGTTCTTGTAAATAAAAATTAATTTTTAAAAATTAAATTAAATTATAATGAGTACAAAAATATGAAATCATATTATTTATTATACAAAATGAGTAGGGGGTAAATTGAAAAATCAACAAGTTTTCTTCCACCAAGCAAGCAAAAAATTTTGTGCACCGTACTTATCCTCATTAGAGTTACATTCTGTGCATTATCCACAAAAGCCAAAGATATCAAAGCACTTGCCTCACTAAAATTTTCTAGTTTGAAATTGTGCAAGAGATCTATATTTCTTAAACAAAATATTCGTTTATAAATTTGATAATTGATCGAAATGTGAAGATAATGAAGTTAATTACGTTGATTGTATATCGAAATATAATTTACAATCAAATTACTTCTTCAGAAGGAACCCAAAGTGGGAAAAGTCGAAAATTCATAATCACTCAAAAGAATTTCTGGACATTTCTACGACTTATCTTGATTGTATGATAAGATGGGAAAGAAATTGGGGATATCAGAGGTACAACATGAACTTCTGGATGATTACTTCATATATTCATCTGGAAAATAATAGATACTAGCAGTTTTAATATTATCCGCAAAACGCCCTTATCTACTATAATCGGATACAATTGACCGATTTCAATGCTAATTTCCAAGAAAATCAAATCAGTTTCACATGCGGTGCTGTGCACGGAAAGAGATAATGAAAAAGAAGAAGAAGAAGAAGAAGAAGAAGAAGAAAGAAATAAAGAAAATGGGAAACGAACTTCATTGCTCATATCTAAATTCCAAACATAATCACTAATAGATTAAGGATAATTATGCTGAATGTGTTACCTTTGAGGCTCTGTGAGGAAGCAAGATGAAGACGACGGGATCGAGTTCGTTGAGGATAGGAGCTTTCGATAGAAGCAATCGGCAGTGGACTTTCTTCGGAGCGGAGGGGCACGCGAAAATAGGACAGCGGACGGGGAAATGGTATTTTACGCCTATTTGAAACTGGGCCCGTGGTGTGGGGTAAATAATAGGTTAAGGAATTACTTCCTCCTTGATAAATATTTTGCCCGCTGTTCGGAATAAAAAAAATTCAACAAATTATTTTAAATATTTGTGTTGGAAATCCTAAATGCTTTGACATTGGAAAGATTTGAAAGGGATGTAATTAAATTTCTTTATTTTGATAGGTGCTGAAATATTAATTTATTAATTATAATATAAAACTATAATCAGGTTAAATACTGAAAAATAAAATATAAATATAATTTTTTAGTTTAATTCATTAATTATCATTAGAAAAAAATTGATTTATTAATTAAAAATAAAAATATGATCTAAGTAATTTAACTCAAAATTCAAAATGAAATCCTACAAAAAATTTTGTAAGTATGATTTGCATTCAAATTCTTAGGATAACAAATTACTAAGAAATGACTCCTTCCAAGCAAAATGAAAAGACCATTTAGTAAAATATCAATTTTTATTCTAAACTTTTAATTTCATCACACTTCTATATTCAACTTGAACAAATGTTACAATCTCTACTTTAAACTTAGAAAAAAAATGTTTGTAATTTTTACTTCTAATAAATGTTCATTTAAAAAGCCGTTGAAAATATTGTACTAATTGATAGGAACCAATAAGTTATGAAATATATATTTAGTTGAAATTGATAGGAACCAAACAAAAACGATAATATAGTTTCTTTTTTTTTTTAAGAAATTTTGTAAGTTCTTGAAATATTATTAATATTAAATTTTGTGTTTTAAAAAATTTTAGTTTTGTGAAAATTTGGATCTTTGTTAGATTTGTTAGTTTCTTTTATATATATATATATATATAGTTTTTTTACACTTTTTTTATTAAAATTAGTGGGTACAATTAGGGGTACAAATTTCATACTTATTATATAAGTTCAAAAAAATGGATAATTTATCTAAAATAATTGTGGATATTTTTTTTAAGAATAAATATCACTATTCACTCATGACGGCCTTATCAATAGTTGAAACCCAATTAAAGGATGTTTCAATTTATATTCCTACTAATGTAATTTCCATTATCAATGGACAAATATTTTTATCCGCCGATCTATTCAATGCTGGAATCAGACTTGCTATTATTGTGGATATTTACGTCTCCCACCGCTCAAATTAAATACTGAACCATATCTTAATTGGTTAATGCATTAATAAATTTTAAATTAAAGGTTGAATTTCACCCCACATGGGTAAGTATATCCTTTAAAAATTAATATAAAATCTATGCCAAAAAAGAGAATAACATAAAATCATCAAACATAATGCTAGCTTTGTATTCCTACCATTCATTATTTTACGTTCTGAATTCTTCAATATTTTAACAGAAACGCAGCTAAAATATTGAAGAAAAAATATCATAAAAAATTTCTCAATCAACCATTACCATACAAATACATATCCACTGATATTTTTAGGACAACTGCGGAAACAAATTTCTCTAATATACTATATTTGAGGTTGCTTTTAATTTTACATAATTAAAAACACATTTGTCATAATCATAAATAATTTCCATTTAAAATCATCAAGTCTGATAATAGCATAAAATTATAAATAGAAAAAGTGAGCATCTCAAAGTATATTGTGAAACATAAGTGCTTAGTCAAAAAGTAATTTCAAAATACTTCAAAAAATGTGAAACTAAACATATCAAATTGACTCATTTTTGCTATTTTCTCACCGAATGAAAAGCCAGACCCACCAAAACAGCTATCATATGCGTTTTCCTCACGAGCCAAGAACTACATTTTGTCAAAAGCACTTGTACTAGCTCTATCAAACACCATAGCTTTTTGCTTTTCCATTGTTAACTCCTAATCATGTCTTACAAACTGACAATTGAATTTGTATTTCTCTCCTTATAATTTGATATGTGTCGATCATTATTTTCAAACTAACTTCTCTGAAAAAAAAAAACAATATATAACAAAAACAAAAGGCCAAAGAAAAAGGAAAAAAAAAAAAAAGAATAATGATTCTAACTTCTCCTCTCTCAAAACTAGGCCCATTTTGCCATCAAAGACATGCCTCCAACGCCCAACAGAACCGCTGCATAAGCCGATATGTGAAGTTTGAGATTGATTTGCAACTTAGGCCCCATAAAATCATACGCCAATAATTCAACCAACGCCATATAATTCAGCAACCCAGCAGATACAGCATTCAAAATTCCCACAACTATCAGAGCCGTGGGACTATTCTCGCTGTACACATTCGACAAACCAATTCCCAACGCTATTCCAAACGGCGTCGTAATTGAGAAGAACAGCACCATCGTCCCCTTCATCTTCGCTCCGTATTCCGCCTGCAAAATGCATCCCCCAAGCCCCATCCCTTCGAACAGCTGATGGAAGCAGAGCGCGGCGATGAGCGGCCGTATGGTGCACGGATTCTCCGACGCTCCCATCGATAGCCCTATCACCACCGAGTGAACCACGATCCCTGCTTCTAATATCTGCGCAATAACACGGTATCGTAGCAGTTTTGAACCAATTCTCTTACCGCTTCCTTCTTCTCTCCCCAAATTGCCACCCATTTCCTTGCCCTCGTAATTTCCTTCTTCCGCATCTCGATCCTCCACCATCAAGTGCTTTTTGTAGCGACTCATTGAAAACGAATCCAACATTAAAGTCATTAAAGCAGAAAGCATTGCTATGAATGTGGTGAAAGGGAATTTCCGCCATGGATTCTCCGGCAAACAGGGGGATGTCAAGCAATCGAAGGAATCGGGTAGAACGTGCATATAACCAGTGGCCAGAATCACGCCGGAGGCGAATGCCTTAACAATTGCGAACGCATTTCCGTCTGGTTGAAGCATCGGCACCGAGCGGGAGAGAAGGGGAAGACAGACGCCGATCATGCTGGAGACTAATATGGTAGCGATGGCGATGAGCTTGAGTTTTAAGGATCTCGCTCTGTCATGGCAACCTTGCCGGAGCTGAGATTCGCACTGTGGATTGGAAATTGGGGCCGAATCTGAAAAGGATAGGGTGAAGAAGGAGAAGAGTAGAAGAAGGAAAATGAGTGCATGGAGTTTGAGACTACGAGCCATGATCAATAACTAATCGACGAATGAGAGAGGGATTGCTCTGGTCATTTCTGTGGAAGATTTAAAGGGATCAAATTGCTATGCGAAATGGCAAGAATAGCCTCGCTGGGAGGATGGAAAAGAATGGAGAAAGATTGTAAATACACGGTGAAATGGAGGGTATTTTGTTAAAGTTGACATGGAACAGTAAAACTTGTGGTGGGCATGTGCAAGCTGTGAACTACACACAATATGACTGGACTTTCGTCGAGGAGATTTACTCTCAAGAGCTGACGTGGCACCAGTAATTAACTTTTACCATGTGTTATAATGCCACATAGATTATTGATCTTTTTTTTTTTTTAAGTTCAACGTTAAAATATAATTGATATAGTTAAACTGGCCAAAACCAAATTGATATGTTAAATCAATTTTATATACCGATATTTTATCTCACTTTTCAAAGCTTTCTGGAGGATAATTGTGAATAGAAATTCTGTGGCGTTAACTGCAAGTTTCTCTGGTCCGTAGACCATTTCAAACCCCAACGTATGAGATATTATTCAGTTCAGTTCTAATCACAATTTACGAATAAAATATGATATCTAATTGCATATTTTCTAAACAAACCATATACATAAAGTTTTTTTTTATCTACATACCAGGTTTACTTTTATAAATTATAGAAATAGACGAATCGCGTAAACGCAAATTTATAACCTATTGTTATATATATAATAATTAATCACAAGTTTCATAAACTACGTTTAGTAAAATCATGAGTTCAAATATTTATGAGTTAATCGCTTTTAAAATCAGTGGACAATAAAAATTAAAGTCCATGCTCTTTCTAGTACAACAATTTGACAATATGGAGATAGAACCTCCAATCTCAAGAAAATGAATACATGTCAATTACAGTATGCTCATATTATCAAGTTCATACTTTTAGAATTTGCTTTTTCTAGTGAATATTGTAATGAGAATTTTGTGTTTTTAAAAGTTGAGTCAAAGATTCCAAAAACTTTTGGAATATAAGGTAAAAGTGAGCTAGGAATTATTCTATATAGCCAAAGTGACAATGTCATGAAGTCGAGAAAAACTCGTCACAAGGTAATGAGTTGAGTGCTGTAATTAAAATCCAACATCAAACTTCTACACTCGGATTGTTAAACTTCTACACTCAGATTGTTATTCACACTCATTAAAAAATAAAAAATTAAAAGATTGTTAGGCACTAATCGATTAACTACAGATTAGACCAATTAGTAGCTAATTGCAAAATGTACAAACAAACAATAACATTGATGAAACAAAGGAAGGAAGCTCTGTTGTTAATGAGGACCTGATCACCATTTAAGAAGTAACCGTGACATAGAAAAAAATGAACCTACTGTTTCTTCATCCATTGCGTAATTTTTTTATTTACTATATATTTAATTTTTTGGTATACAATATGATCGTATATTAAGGTGATTGGAACAAAATAGCATCACTATTTCTACTTACCACTACTAAAAATTAGATAGTTCTTTATTATCTGAAAAAAAAAATTCTCCAATTTTTTGTATTTTTTTTTACGACATGTGAATGTAGAGAATCGAGCTCACAACCTCAATTTTTTCTGTGTTCATCTCTAGTAATCAGCTGTTAATAATTACTAAGGGATCGTTTGTTTCGTGGGAATCCCATGAGATGAACATTTGGATTTATACGTGTTTGGTGGTAATATAAGATATCTGGGTATTCTAGGATGCCGATTTAGAAGGCATCTGAGTAGATTTAGATGCTTTTTGAGATATGGGTTTCCATGATTCCCTTGTTGAAGGCATCGTTGGCATTTTTACCCCTTTGTTATTTTTTCATATATTTTCTTTTATCAAATTTTTTTGATTTTATTTATAATTTTATAGTTTAAATAAATTAATATACTCATTGACTTAATAAGCAATTAAGTATATTTATATATTACATGTACATATAAAATAAATTTCAATTAAATTATATAATATCTTCATTTACTTTTAATATTTGAAATGATTTATTATGAATAATATATATTATCTTAAATACATCATTTTAAAGCAACATTTTTTTTAACGATTAGTTTACCTTTGATATTTTTCTTCTTAAAAGAACATAATTTGATAATATAATAAATGAATTTTACCCCATATAACGTTAATTATATAATTATATTTTTTAAAAAAATATTAAAGTTGAAAATGAAATTTATATTCAATATTAATTACTTTTTAAAAAGTCTTATATTAATATGAATTTTACCTCAATAACATATAAAAATTAATACATATACGTAATTAATATAAAAAAACCTAAAATATTAAATTAATTTTATGAAAATCTATTATATAAATATAAATTATATTAGATTAATGTATAAATTATATGAATATTTGTAAGAGCGTTTTTTAACTTTATATAAATTTAAAACATTCGTATGAATAAATCTTGCAAAACAAACGTGGCTATCGAGATATTTTCGGACGTATTTATATATTTTCCTACGAAATAAACATGACCATTTGGAGACGTCAGACATCTAAAATTTCAGACATATGAAGATGTCGGATATCTGCATTCTCAACAAACAAATAGCTCCTGGATGTTATAAATCATTAAACTTGTACATACAATGGTCATCTCTCTACATGAAGGGTCTAAATTTTACGCATTGCTAGAGCTAGATTTGAAGATCACTAACCCATTAGCCACTGACTTTTCTACTACGTGTCTTCTTCATTATATCGTCCAGAGTCTAAAAATAATAATTTTTAAGCATTGACCTTCAAGCTTTTTGAAGTTTAATATCGTAAGATGAGTACCTTCTCATTTAATAATCTTTACAAATATATATTTTTTTTTTACTTAGTGCACTTAGTTATATTTTCTTAAAAATAATTTTAAGGTAAATTTGTTTCGGTTGCACTATATAAACAAAGTAATTTTACAAACTTTTTTAATATAATATGGAGAAGTGAGAATTCGAACTCACAATCAGAAATAAATATCTTCTTATAAATTCGGTAATACCTATTCCTTATCATCACATTTTGACATATAAGTAATAGGTTATGTTCTTTTATAGGAACCACACTATTTTTAATGATCGACAATGAATAGAAGTAGTATAGAAAATCGGAGTACCATAAGTTTTTCCATCAATCAATCACTCTTACAAGAATCGCTTCAAAGTATTATTTTAAAATGATTCTAAACTAATTTAATTATTGTAAAAAATAATTTTTATATGTTATCAAACATTTAGATTTAAAAAAAA